CCTTGATTTTACTGCCTTCTCATGCGTCCACGTCACCCTAAATACTGTCAACCGTTTGATTGACTACAAGTGGCTCCGATTTGCAGCCCGTGCTCCATGCCTGAATTGGCTCCTTCTTCCTCGGTTCATTGCCTTCCAAGAGCGCTAGCACCGATTTGTTTCCCCAATTAATTTTGACGTTTCTGCAACACTATCAATCTCCCTAATTAATTTCCCCATCAATTGATTTTCCATGACCATCTACATCCCCATGAAACGCGCAATCTGGAGAAGCATATCTTGAGGCCGTGCTCCATGGAGAGGGTCCATCACTTAACACATCCGCAGTTTTATGGAAGCTCCGCACCTGAATATGTTCCTTTTTGCACTATGGTGTGTCACATTAGTCAAAGCATATCTTGAGGCCGTGCTCCATGGAGAGGTTCTATTTCAGAGTTTTCAGCTGTTCTCTTTCTCTACATTAGTCATTGTTTGCTCATATTCAGGTGCGGAGCTTCCATAAAACTGCACATGTGTAGGCGTGTAGTAAACTATTCATCAACTCTCAGCTTTTTCATGAGCTGCACCTAATGGCCACTTCCTAATTTCATGTGTTTGTTCTTCTACAAAATTATACTAAAATAACCCTTTTGTTTTCGTCCACCAAACTGAGGAGACGACATCTCTTTGGTTTAGTCCTGTCCTTCAATCCTATTAAACAAATCGAGCCATCACTCGCTGCTGAAAGCATGTGGGAACTCATCGCATTTTGTAAGCTAGACTCCTATATCATTTGCGGTAGTGTTCACGTTGGCAAGTTACACAGGGTTCCATTCCATGGTTTATCTTAATTCCCTAATCCTGAATTCCTTATAATTTCGCAAATCTGAAAGCCATTGTTATCATTGATGGATATTCACCTTGATCTTTAATAAGTAACCAATTAGCCATCACAGGTCTGGATACTAATTCTTCGTAAGAATGTAATGAACTTTACTTGCAGTCAATGCACTTTTATTTTTCCCTTCTTTTCCTTGCAAAGGGTTTGTTCAAAGCTTTTTATTAAACTGCATGAAGTGCAACAGCAACGCGCGGGGAGTGTGTTCGTAGGTGTGGAATACCTAAATAATGTCACTTTGCAAGGAAATGGAATACATTATATGACAAGTTATTGGATC